TTTAAACTTATTTTTATATAATTTTTTATCATGTTTATAATCTTTTAATTTGAACCTCAATTATATTAAATATTTTTTTATATAAATGATTTTAATAAGACAAATTTTAAATATTAAATTAAACAAAAAAATGATTCAAAATTATATTTTTAATTTAAAAATAATTATTATCTAAAAAGATTAAATCAACTCAAATTTAGAAGATGAAGTAACAAAATGACATTTAGAAGGTAATTGATATGAAGGACAAATTCAGTAGATTGTTCAGTTGAGGAAGTATATATTATGGGTAGAGTTGGAAATATTTTGTTGACTTATTAAATAATTAATAATTTTTAATGAGTGAAATTACAAATAAGACCCTTCCTTCTAACCCTTGATTTTCAGAAGGGGGCACGGCTGCTGTGGGCGAATTTTCCGACAGATTCCCTTACCTTCAAGGGCAACTTTGACTTGTTTCCGACAAATATCACAAAATTTTTACACAATGCATGTTTAAGTGCAAAATTGACATTCTATGTTTTAAATTATTTTAATTTACATTTAATATATTTATTTTGATAAAGATATCATATAAGTAATTAGTTGTAAATCTGAACCATCGATTATTTTAAATTCATATACGATTAAGACTTAAGAGTCACTGACTCACCCATAAATTACATACTGAAAAGAAAATCCGACATGGTTCACGGGAGATTTCGCCATAAAATGAATATATAAAAAAATAAATAAATAAAAGATTAATTTAACTTTTTTAATTATTCTTTTACTGGTTAAGATAGTAATTTTGTGCATGACTTGGAAGTATTTTTTGCATTTCAGTTTCAAATTTAATATTGCACAAATTATTCTTTACATTTGAAAATTCAAATTATTTCCATTTGAAATCATCATTCATTTTAGTTCAAATCAAATTGAATTGATTAAAATTAATTACTTCTAATTTTATTTTTTTTCAAATCTGAATCAACATGACACGTAAATACCCTTAAATTTTAAATTATATAAGTATTTATAAATCTATTCTCTCATCTTTCTCATTTTAGAAAAATATTTCAATGTTTGTTAGCTATGATAAAACAAATTATCTTTATATTTCTAATATTTTTTTCCTATCAATAGATATAATATTTATCTTAGTAATCTAATTGATAGAATCCTTTTATTATAAATAAGTATAGTATATGAAACAAAAAGTTTAATATTTTTTCATTTAAAAATAAAAATATATGACTAAAAATATATTATTTGATAATTTTTTAGTAAATTATACTTTTAATCATTTATTTAATATTTTTTCAAATATTTATTTTGATCTTTTATTTTTTATATTTGAATCAATTTAATTCTTTTAAAATAATGATCATTTTCAATTTTGCGACAGGATTTTGAAATAATATTTTATTAAACATGAACTTGTAACATTATTCTCACCCAAATGAAAACTTGAAATGTAATTATTATCGTTTGAATCCAAAAAAAATGTCATAAACATAGCAAAAATCGTGTAAAAAATATATTTCATGAATAATTAAAAAATAATATAAAATTATAATTTAAAAAAAATATTTTCACTATGTTTATAACACTTATGATTTGAACTTCAATTGTATTCAATATTTTTTTATATAAGTGAATATTGTGAAATAATTATTTAAGTTTTAAATTGGTTAAAAATAATAATTTAAAAGCTAAATTGACCTAAATTTAAGAGATCAAAGATAAAAATAAAATATAAAGTATCAAAATGAATTTAAAAAATAAAATAAAAGACTAAAAATATAATTAAGTTAACAAAAATTCTTTTAAACGAAACAAATTTATCTTTTCAAGTAAGTTTATATATCTCACTTTAATTCACTATTATTAAATTCAACTTAGATAAGAAGATTTGGTCGATTAATAAAAAAAAAATCAACTTTTTAACAATTTGATTTACCATATATATCGTTTATGATAAAAATTTACTGCTGTAGCAGCAAATCAGCTCAATCATGCATAATGCTTTCTAAATGAACCGGTTCTAACTTACTGGATATTGTTGCTCTCGAGTCATTTTAACGTTGGAGTCATTTGTGAGCATGTTGTTGAGAAGGCATGCCAACCAAACTCAATCTAATTTTGATGGATTAAACCTGTTTTGATTATGTATAAAAATAATAATTATATTTATTAACATAAAAAGTATTTTAGCACCATGAGAGTAACATAATTGGTTAAATTCATTTACTCGTAATAGTTAAGATTAAGATTTGTTCTTATATTTTATATTCTTCCATGCGAATTTGCGTTGACATAAGATAGACAATCTGTAATAAGAATCGTTAGAAAAGTTGGTGATTAACTTTAACCTTATATGAAGTTGTAATAATTAAAATTAGGTGTGAAAATTTTAAAAATAACTTTACAATGAAATAAAGAATAAAAATTAAATAAAAAGTGTGGAATAGAAAAAGTATTTTAAAAGTTAAGAGGAAAACATTCAACAAAATATGTAAATTAAAAAATATATTATTTTTATTAATATAAAATATTATAGATATTATTGTAAATATTTTTATAGTGTCTTTGAATAAGAAATTTTAAATTAATAATTTATTTTTTTTTGTTGGAGACTTGGAGTAAGGTTTGAAATAGGAAAATCAAATTATTTTCTAGTACGGGCATTACTGCAACTAGAACGGGTCATTCTAATTGCAGTACGGGCCGTTCCTGCTTATAATTTTAGGGTTTTTGAGGAAACTGGAACGACCTATACCAATTTAAAAGTCTAACTTTTAAAATCACTTTATGCATGATCGATGTTAAAAGTCTTACTTTTAAAATCGGTTGGTGCATGATCAATGTTAAAAAGTATAACTTTTAACATCGGTCAATAATCGATGTTAAAAGTGTACTTTTTAAAATCGGTTCTTTTAAAATTAGTTAGAGAACCGATTTTAAAAGTCAAAAATTACAAATTTTAAAGTGTTTTTTCCACTAGTATTTGTTGGATAATTTTTCCTAAGAGTTTCACTAACTTTTTTTTTTTAAGATAAAAAAGATTAAAATGATAGTCACATTAAGAATTAGATTTAGGTCCTCATATTTCTACTATTCAACTCCTTTCTCCCAACTACTAAGTTAATTATAGTGGTTAGACTAACTCTATTTAGTAAAATATCATCTTCAAATTATGTTTATTTTATTACAATACTAAAACTAGAGACTTTACTTAAGAGATATAAATCAGTTTAACTAAAACTAACAACTTGTAGGTATACCTTTTTATTTATTTATTTATATATCCATATTATTTATGCGTCAAATATTTACTAATTTTGCTAATGACTTATATATGTTGCAAAACTTATTTAATCAACTTTAATAATATTTTTTCTCTTAACGATTTTTCTTATCCATAAAACTTACAAAAAAAAAATATTTAAAGAAGTGATGCACATTGAATTTACCTCTACCTAAACCTTTAATTTGGGTTGAGAAACTATTAGAAAAATTATTAAATGCTAACATAATTGATAAATCACTTTAAACAAAATTGATACAAAAATTAATTTGTTAACACGTCTATATAAAGTAATTATTATAAAATTGTAGATTTTGTCAACTTATATTATATTGACCAAATCAAATGTCAAAATAATCTTATTAAAGAAATAATTAATATCAATGAAGTATAATTATTATTATGAAAATTAACTTTTAACAAATGCATTGACCAGGAATGAAAATCTGAAGTTTATGACTTTTATTTTTATTCACGTTGATGTAATTTCCTTTACAATTTTCAATCGATCAAAGATAATTATTGATTTTTTTTTTCAATTAATTATTTTAAAAGGCAATAAATTTATTTATAATTGAATGCCAATATAATCTATAATATAGACTGTGTATTTCTTATTCTGAAATTTAAGAATAAATAAATAATCTTTAATATGAAAACACAAGAATAAATAATAATAATCTTTAAATTGAAACAAATGATTTAAATTAAAAGATTATAAATAAAGTTATCAAATATAATTGTTATCGTAATTTTTTTTTTATCATTGTTGTCTTCATCTTAGATACTACAACCGTTGCTATCACTACTATTTTCACCATGTAACTACCACATCACCATTATTGTTACCGTCACCGTTAGGGATGGCAATGGGGCTCATGGGGCGGGTAATAGTAAATTCATCTCCGCCTTACTGGATGAAAACTAGTCTCAAACACATCTCATATCTGCACGAGTATCCATGAATTTCTTGAATACCCACGAATATCCATGGATATTCATGGATATTTATAAATTTTTTAAGAAATTAAAAAAAAATATTATAAATAATTTTAAGTTTAAATTTAATGTCATTGAAATATTAAAAATAAAAAATTTAATGTTAATTTTGAACTTGTATTTAACGTTAATTTTGTTGAAATAATAATAAAAATGCAAGATAATCAATAACTTAAAATACATCAATCTCACAAGTAAGTGAGAGTCTCATATCACAAAGATAAAAGTGTAATTTTAGGGTTATGTGGTACAATGATAATTAGGATATTTAATAAATATTATTAAACAGGTACACGCGAGTATGAATATCATCATATCCGCCCCCGCCCCATTTATAAACGGGTAAAAAATTATCCGTCCCAATTATCCGCGGGTACCCAATTAGCCTATCTATTTATTATCCGTAGCGGGTGCGGGTATTTTTGTCATCCCTAGTCACCGTCACTATATGGTCATTATGTTACAATTATTATTACTGGTCACTAATATCACTGACCATACTGTCATCCTCGTTATTATAATTATTATTGTCACTATCACTACTATTATCACTATTATTGTTGGTGATGATGATATAACAAGTATAATAAAAGTGAACGTGGTAGAGATAATAATAAAAATGATAAAAAAAAAATTACATTCACAATGTTATATAGTAACTTTTTATTTGTAATTTTTTTATCTAAATTATTTATTTTAATTTAACAATTATTATTAATTCTTATCATAGAATATATATATCCTATATAATAATAATAATAATATTATTATTATTATTATTATATTATTATAATAATAGAAATTGAGATACGAAATGTCGCCCAAAGATCACGTTAACTATAAGTATAACTCCCCCAAATATTGCAAAAACATATGCGCGAATAGTTACTTCAAACGTTCGAAATTAATGTCTAGTTTCTGTAATTCGTCTTTAACCATTTAAATAAATTCAAACAAAGAAATACTTTTCTTTAGTTAAATAAGAATTCCACCATTGTCATAATACACCAAGAAAATAACAATTCCACTATCACTTGTCTCCCGTTCTCATTAGTCGGCTGTGTAATATGATGTGTATAACTTTTTCTTTTCAGAAGCATTTTTCGATAAAAAAAAATAAAAAATAAAATAAATTTTTATAATCTAAAATTAATTTGCACATAAATTAATTTTTTAAAAAATTAATAGAAGAAAAATTATATAAATTAATTTATATATAAATTATTTCATCTATTTCTTTTTTAATTGTCGATTTTAAAAGAAATTTTATTTTTTTCATGTCATTTTTAAAATGCAAGACAATATTAATTACTTTTTGTCAATTATATTTTCATATTTCAATTAATTTTTAATTAACATTTATGTTGGCAATTAAATATTTATCATAAAATAAAAATGAAAGGAGAATAACAACAAAGGCCAAAATTATTTTATAAAAATTGAATAATTTATCACATTCTTAATTCTTTAGTTCATGTACAACATTAACACCTTAAGCGATTGCTCTAAATTTTTAATTTTTGTTTCTTTATTTTCTTCTATAAAAATTCATTCAATCCTATCTCAATCTCAGTTTAAAACTGAATGTCACGAATCTCAACCACATGAAATTAGAATTTGTTGGTGCTATTCTTTACCACACCCACGTGAGGACCAAGTTACATGCATGATTATAATCACCATAAACAACTAGAACAACCAAAGATTGGCTTAATTAAAAACTAATTCCACCACTTTCCGAGGTCAAAGTCACCCAGTCATCATCTTTCTCATCTTGTTTACTTCACTTGACTTCTGATAGAAGGGTAGATTCCAAAAAGGAGAGTACCACTAGTTAGTGTGATTATTCATATTCATAACATCAATAAACACTGCCATATACCTAATTAAGTTCTTTAACACAAAAAAAATAAAATTATTAATCAAACCATTATCATATGTCTAGAGCCCACTCCCCTTTCTGCGAAAGCCATCATGACCTTCCCTTACCTTTTCTTTACTTTAAGATCAAAACTCCACTAATCGCACTTCATAATATAAACATAGATATATAACATAACATAACATGGAACCCCCCACCCATACGCCACAATTATGAGCAAACGTTACTTTCTTTGTCCTAAGAATATTTTGTTTCCCCAAAATCCTTCGTCCGAGAGACCACCACACCAGCTCATTTCTTGAGGCAGAACCGTAATTTCACCCCAAACCGAAGCCCATTCATTTCCCAAACTCTGATTTATAAATACATTTACACGCGTATGTAACACACTATATATGCTCTCAATTTACACACACCCACCACTGCCACCACCACCACCCACCGCCGGTGGGATCCATTAACGAAAAACAATAACCTTCTCAATTCTCATTCTCTTCTCCAACCCATTCTCCATTTCTCGCGAATTCGAATACCCAATTGGGAAAAGCAAACAATTTTGCAAACGCTGAGTGAAAAAAAAAAAAAAAAAAAAACGAAAAACCCACTCCACTCTCTCCACACTCCACCTTCATTGGGCTCTGTTTCTTAAACGGCGATGAAGTAGTTGTCGTTTCGCGAGCCAAAACGACGCCGCAGAATGCTGTGCAGGAAGAGCTCCAAAAACGGCGTCGCTTCGGGAACCGTGCCGGTGTACCTCAATGTCTACGATCTAACACCCATGAACGGTTACGCTTACTGGTTCGGGCTCGGAGTGTACCATTCCGGCGTTGAAGGTTCAATTTTTAATTTTTTTTTTACCCTTTGGAATCTGTTCAAGAACCCACCTCAGATCTACGATCTACGATTGAAAAATAATTCTGGGTCTCTCTCTCTCTTCTTCATCCTAATAAAAAAATGATTTTTTTTCCCGGTGCAGTTCACGGCGTTGAGTTCGCGTTCGGAGCTCACGAATTTTCCTCGACGGGGATATTCGAAGGTGAACCTAAGAAGTGCGAAGGTTTCACGTTCAGAAAAACGATTCTGATCGGAAAAACCGATATGGGGCCCGGTGAGGTTAGCACTGTGATGGAAAATCTCGCTGCTGAGTACAGAGGGAATGCTTACAATCTCATAACGAAGAATTGCAACCATTTTTGCAACGATGCTTGTATTAGACTCACCGGAAATCCTATTCCGAGTTGGGTCAATCGTCTTGCACGAATTGGTAACTCACTTTTAAGTTTTAAGTTTTCTCTACTATTGCTATTGCTACAACCCAAAATGGTTTTTTGTTTATTAGTCTATTATTGGTCGTTTTCATCTCAGGTGCTCTTGTTTTTTTTTTGTTGAAATTTGTAAATTGAAGGGGTGTGGTTGTTGTGTTAATTTTCGGTGAAGTTATGGTATCTGAAATAAAATATAGTTATTCGGTGATGTGGATATTAGTTAGATAGATCACTTGCTTGTAGTGGTCAAGGTAAAATTAAATATGGTTATTGTTGACTTTGTTTCGTAGAGGATGGAAAAAGAATAGAAAAGGAAATGATAGTTTTATAAGGAAAAGAATAGTTTGGAATCATATTTGATTCGTTCGTAAGTTATGTCACGGAAAATTGAGTGGGAGTGATGACCATGACTGCAACAGCATTATTCATTTGCCACGCAAATATTTTTCTAAATTTTTTGGGATATGTAGATTATTGAGGTAAAATTCTCCATGTATAAAACAAGTGTCTAGTTTAGTTTCTATTTACTTATTTATTTTTATATAATCATGTTATTAATCATGTTTTTTCTATAAGAATAGAAACTTAGACCTTATTTAAATTCCATTTTTGATCAACTGTTTGATGTAAAATTTTTCTTGTTTGATTCTATAAATATTTTTTAGGTTGATTTAATTTAACGTGATTGATTTCATGCATGTGTTGCAGGATTTATGTGCAACTGTGTTCTTCCTGTGAAATTGAACTCAACAAAAGTGAGGCACCACAGGATAGAGGAGAAGCAATGTGAAGGAGATAAGGAAGCGTTAAAAAATGATGCAAGGAAGCTTAGTGGTTCAAAATCAACATCTTCGGCAACATCTTCCCCTGCGGGAGGGCGCAGGGGAAGGAGTAGAACAAGACGTGCCCTTCCTCCATCTTCTCCTTTGATTATTGGATCAAGATCTTAATTATTATTATTATTATTTTTTTTTGGTTTTGGCTAATTACAAAAGTTGCTCTAACGAAGAGAGGCAACAGATTTGATTTTCAATATAAAATTGTTTTTCTTCATTCTTTACATCCAATGACTTGTAAAGATATAAAAAAACCAGCCAGGAATCCCGGACTCACAGCTTTTTATTTTTATTTTATTTTTTTTTAATGTTTGATTTTATGAAAGAGAGGACCCACTTTATAGAGAAAAAAGAAATTGTTACCCCACGAAGACGACAAGGGGAAGAAAATAGGAAATGGAGGTAGGAGTAGGATACATTACAGGAATTTGAAGGTATACTATTGTTATATTATATCAGTAAATTCGAAGCAGGAATGTAACATCAAACATATAGGATTATTGCTGTTTGCATAATGGATTAATATGGATTAGAATTATTTCTGTTTGCATAATGGATTAATATGGATTGAGTTGAGGAAGACTTTTAGAATGGATATAATAAGACAATAGTATACATTCGAATTACTGATATTTATTATATATATATTTATTTTGATACATATTATCGATTTTTATGTATTAAATATGAAAGAGAGTTTTTAGAATATTTTTTATTTTTAATCTAATTTAATTTTTGTTTATCATAATTTAAAAAAAATAATATTTTAAAATTTAGAATATTTTTTTTGTTTTTAATCTAATTTAATTTTTGTTTATTGTAATTTTAAAAAAATTAAATTTTAATATTTTAAAATAAATTATCAATTATTTTTGTATCATAATTTAAATTATTTATCATAAATCTAAAATATAATTTATATATTTTAAAAAAATTATTTATACAAATTTTAAATATAATTAATATATTAAGCATAATATTTACTAGGATTTTAACCTATATGTTTCATTGACTAAATGTTATAACAAAAATTTACTAAGATTTTTATTATTTATAACAAAAAGTTATAATAAATTATATAAACAAATAAATACTATATTTGAATACATAAGTTGTATTTAAATTTTGTACAAGTAGATATTTTGAAACATTAGTTATATTTTTAATTTATGATAAATAATTTAAATTGTGACATAAGATTATTTTTAATTATTAATAATTTTTATGAAATTTTTAAAATTTTAAAAAAATAAATATCAACCTCATATAAAATATGAATAACTATTCTGTACAAGAGCAATTTTAGGAACTTTTCTTCGATAAAAGGATTTTCAAAAATTCTTTTGTTTAACTTTATATTTAATTAAATTTTTATTCATCATAATTATTATGAATTAAAATTTAATATTTATAAATTAATCTTTTTAAAGTAAAAATAATTTTGTACTGTAATACAAATTATTTATCATATATCTAAAATATAACTTATATATTTAAAAATATTAATTATTCAAATTTTAAATATAATTTATATATTCAAAGATAATGTTCAGTTATATACATAATTTATTTTAAAATCTAGTTATATATAATCATTTAACTTGTGTACTACACATGTTAAAATACTGATTGTAAATAAAAATTGAATTAACCAAGAAGTTAAAAAAAAAATCTAAAAATACTTGAAAACTAACTCCAAAAGAATGTTCCTACACAAGATAACTTTTACGTTAAAAGAATTGGATAAATAAAGAATTTGATTGCATAAAAAGTTAAAGAAAAGTTTTACAAATATTTTTACACAAAATAGTCATTTGTATTTAATATATATAGATTGATTTGTATATATATAATTTTTTTAATAAATTTTAGTTATAATAATAAATATTTAAATTATATTTGAAGAATTTTTTCAATCACTTGCATTTCAAATATGTCTCTTGATAATTACCACATAGAGAGAGAATATTAGTATAAAGAGTTGTTAAAATATTAATTTTTATATAATATTATTTATCCAATATTATACCATACCATCAAACATAAGATATAACAACTACGAATAATAAAAACATATGTCAACAAGTTTTACTTTGTCAAGCTTTATCATAATAAAAATAAATAAATAAAACAGTCCCACATTGTATTATTGCTTGGGAAAAAAAAATGTTAAGTTTCAAAAGGAAAGTCTTGTTTTAGTTTTGAAAAATTAAATACACTAATTATCAATTTAATCAATCGCAAATTATTTTATCAACCTAATTGATTATTTCAATTTGATCAATAATATAATACAAAGTTGTTTCAATTTAACTAATAATTTTAAGTTTAAATCTCAATTTTATTAAACTAAGCAAAATTATTTCTTACAAAAGATATTGATTGTCTCTTTATATAAAAAAATCTCTTTATTCATTTTTTTTTCAATAAAGGGTCCAAAAAGAATTCGATTTATTGTCACATGTATAAAAAAAGTTTATTGATAGAAAAAAAAATCACATTAATAATTTTTTATCACAAAAGATTTAATCCCTTGTTGTATATACATATTATAAAAGGTAGAAGTTTCAAATTAGTTAATATTACCTTCGAAAAATAGTATATATATCAAGTTGTGATTTAGACATATGAAAAAACTAGTAAGAATGAAGAGATTCATGTATTTATTTTTTGTTATTCACTAAGCATAAGTTTTTTTCTTGATACAAAACATGGTTATATTATAAAGCGTAATTTATTACTCATTATTTCCTTTTAATTGCTTTTTAATTTGTGAGCACAACTCTCATTATTTTCTTTTAATTACTTTTTAATTCATGAGCACAACTCTCTTTAGGCTTTTAGTTTTTCTACTTACTAGTTCTAGACCTCAATTACAAAATCAAAACCGAAACTTTCCTATTATATAATGTGCTCAACACACCTCTGAAAATTCATCATGTTCTCAATTATTTTTACTACATCTCCAACTTTTAATTAGGATATATCCTTGATATAAAAGAAAAATCCTAAAATCAAATTATACGTAGAATTTATTAAATTAAATATTTATGCTGCTCGAATAAGCTATTTACTATCAAACAAAAGCAAATTTTATAGTTTTATGTTGGTAAGAGTTGGGTGAACTAATAAGATCAAACAATTTTGGTAAGAAAGAAAGTCTTAGATATTATTATTCCTTTTCCTAACCTTTAATTTATACGCATTTAGACCGTCTTTGTTGGGGCTTTATGCATGCTATGCTTTTACAATAATAAAATGCGCTGCGTCCGAAACTATTTTTGCTTTCCCACTCGAGTAAATAAAATATCTGATTGACACTTTTAATTTGTGTTTATTTTTCTCTTGTCTCATCACACATTATCAATTATATCAATTTTTTAAAGATGCAAATACCTTTTAGGTGCCCAAAAATATTCTTATAACCACAAAAATAATGTGTTTTTTAATTCTTTTTTTAAGAGCAAAACAAAGTTCTTAATTTCTTATTAAATCATACTCGGTAGAATACAAGATATACTAATTCAGAATATAAAAATTGTATAGTATTATAAAATTATATATTCTAAAACACACCTAAACATAAAAGATGTATATCAGAACGTATGATTTTTATTTCTAAAGTCGTGATTAAAAGGAAGATGGCTAATATATGTAAATATATGCAATGGAACCGAATCAACCGATTGAGTCTATATGGAAGCAGACATTACCTTTTTTTATTCTGTCGAAGTCGTAAATGATGATGAACTAATGACAAATTACAACATGCTGAGATGCATAGACCATATTTTTTTTTTTTGATGATAAGATGCATAGACCATATAATGTAGTTGCCATTGCCAAGAAGTGAGATAAAGAGACATGTACTACAGAAGAACTTTGGTGCTGTCATTTTCTGTCAATCTCTGTCCCTATTCTTCATTTTCTTATTTTAGAGTCATGACTTTTGCTCTTTGGACTTTCCACTTTTTCCTCCAAAGGGACTATTAGAGTCAGCAAAGCTGGATGTTAGCACAACAACTTTTGACCACCAAAGCAATAATGTACACAATGAAACAAGTATCACTGCACACATACACAGTTTTCATTTCTTTTTTTCTTTTTTCCTCACCTAAGAAAAATTCCATGGCTAAGAACAAGATGTTTAAGGTAGTAAATCCATGATGCTTTGGTAAAATATTGTGATTTGGATAAATTTGTTTTACAGGTTTGTGGGAAAGAAGAAAATTTTACCCGATGCAAAATAATATTTGGAGAGTTGGTAAATCTTAATAAAACAAGTAGTACATTTTTTTTAAGAAAATAAAAAACAGCTATTATCTTTTTGAGCTAGTTTATATATATAAAAAAGTATTGTCTTTAAAAAGTGTTGTCTATTGTGCACTTTTCTATGACCATAATGACTCTTTGCAAGTAGATCAATTTATCAAGTAATAGATATAGATTGAATAAGAATATAATCCTTAGATTCAGCTACCAACAAACAAAATACTATTATTTGAACTAATTGTTGGAATAATGAATTGGATTTGCATTAAAACAAAGTAACAAATGACAAGAATGGAATTGTTAGAATATAAACAAGATTTTATATTTTTAAAATAATAAGAGAAATAAAAATTTATAAAACATACACATATTCTATTAATTGAGAGATTTTTTGAATAATAAACAAAAACAAAATAATGAGAGTGAAAGTTTAAAGTGGATAGTATTTTATTATGGTAGAGTTGTATGTATATAAATATCACAAATATCCTAATAAAAATAACTAGTTATAATATTTCTCTCGCTAAATATATTTTCTTAAAGATAAATATCATAATATAACTCAAACAACACCAACACAGTGAATTCAACAAAATAATAATTGAACAATTGCCTAATAATGGTTAATGTCATAATACTCTCAATTATCTTCTCTCAATGTAATTCAATTTAACTCTTAATCTAAGTTATAATCTTTAATTGAATATCAACCTCTCATTAGTAGTTGATCTTCAATTCTTAAACATTCAACCCTTTCTTCCAAACCAAAAATCCTAATTTCTCGACCTTTCTCAATATTTAGCACATGAATTCATAGGACACAATTTTTAATTTTTATTTTTGTGGTGAGTTACTCAAAGATTTAATTCATTTGCTAATAATGTGAAAATGAATCTACTCCACTCTCGAGTATTTCTATTATTATTTTAGAAAGTAGTCACTATCTCTCATATTTTATTACATACTACCCATTTCTTTGTCAACTTTGACCTCAACTTAACTATGAACAACTTAGCTCTCAAATATTCCTTAACCCTTAAAGCTCAAATAACAATACACAAACTCAACATAGCAACATGTAACATATATTATCATGCAATAAAAACATAAAACACACAATGTTACAAACATGGTAATGGTAGTTGATGTGTTGTGAAAGGGTGTTCACGAATTGCATTTGGCAAATGGTTAAATTTATTATGGAGATACAACTTGCTATTTAGTTACATCCTCCATGACTATTTTGTTCTTTACCGATGTTTTCTACATAGTTAAAGGATTAACCAATATTCTACATTAATTAAAAACTTTAATCAATATAAAATGTGATTTCTACATTAGTAAACTTATAACCGATGTAGAAAGAATATTAATTATAACTTTAACTATTGTAGAAAATATTTTTTTTAATCAATTTAATGTATGATGTAAAAATAATTATCTCATTATACATCACTTAGATCAACATTAATTTTTTTAGGACACATCAACATTAATCTTAGAACCAATTTAAAATTTATATTTTAACCAATGTTTTTTTTTTTTTTTTGCAGTAGTGAGTAATGTTGATTTGTTAGAAAGAAATGTCTTTTTCTTTTTTCACAATGACAAAAAAAGTTTAAAAACGTTGTACAAATTATCTAAACACTATCACTATTATGTTGACTAGTAGGATCAAGACAATCCATATCT